CCTGTGCTGACCCACTTGCACGCTGGTTTTCTCAGCACACACGGGTGAGAGCTGGCCACGCCAGCTGACAGTTGGCGGTGCAGAGCAGCTGGCCCCGGCCACGGCAGCTCCAGCAAGCCCTTCAGTTAAAACAGACACCCGTAGCTCGCATGGGCGATGGAATTTTCCTGCATGTGCGACTTCGTTCCAGCTTACCCCGTGCATGGCGTTGTTTCTACACACTAACCTTCCTGATCTTCTCTCACGTTCCCCGGGCAGGTCTCACGTGGACCTCGCTAGACTGCTTTTCCTTTAGTGCGGCTTCTAAGCTGATTTCTTGGACATGCAGTGTCTCCTTGCTAGGCGCGCTCTGACTGGGTAGATCCCAGCAGAGCTCATGGACATGCGAACTGGGCGCATAGACTGAGATGCTTGGTTAACACGGAGTAAGTAATCCTTATCCAGATTTTGAAAGTACTCTTTATTAGCTGGCCATTTCCTTAAAGGCTGTTTGTAAGCTCTGCCATACAGGCAAGACTGATTTCAAAAAAAAATAATAATTTTTTTTAAGAAGTTCTGTGGATTCCCAGAGACTACTGGGCTGAATGTATGTTGATTTTTCAGATTAGATCTATGATCAGATTTTCTACTAGTAAATGATTTAAGAAGAATGATGGGGGGAGAAGCAAGGCACAGGACTGGACAATCTTCTTCATGGAGATTCCAGCGTAAACACTCCAATGTTCATGACTCAGATCTCTGAAGATAAAGCAGCCATATTAGTTTCAAAAAAGGGAAGGGAAGAAAACAAACTTCTAGAAACTTCTGTTGCCATCAGTGTTATTAACGGAGCATTGATTCTATGCAAAGAACTGTGTGGCTTACTTTTTCATACCTTAAATTCTACCAGACTGTCGGCTACAGGAGGGCAGGTAATGTGTTTGATTCCCTGCCGTAATCTCCCTGCTTAGCACAATGTTTGACACCTCATAGTCATTTAGTAAATATTTGCCGAGTAAATGAATACATTGAAATCTTGTTTATTCCTAGTCACAAGCCTGTGAGGTAAATATTCTTATGTCTGTTTTCTACTCAAGAATAGTAAAGGTCAGAAAGATCGAGAAGTTCACCTGTTATCACACATGCATGTGAGTGACCGCTACTCAGACATTTGTAACCACCAATTTGGACAACTCAGCCTTAATATTCTAGAAATGTAGGACTGGAAGCAGTGGAAGTAGTGGTTGCCATAGTAAGTCAGACTTCTCCAAGCTCTTTCAGAATATCGTTCTGACCTCAGAATTTAACGTGTTCAGGAAAATTCCCTGTCTATTAACGTGAAAGTCAGTAGATGTTAAA